AGACTAAACTTGAGTCAAAATTCCCATCCCAGATGAAGGTAAAGGCATTTCCAAATTCTGTCTCCACAACCCTAGTATGCCAAAGCAGCTGGAGCAAAACCAGCCACCCAGCTCTCCAGCTAGCATTCCTCCCATGGGGACAAAGTAGTATCACCATCTTCTAAGTGCATAAGATCATACTCGGCACATGTTAAAGTCTGCGATGGGACAACATACAGTTAATAGGAAGATGAATGAAGTTGAGGCAAAAGCCAGACTACCTAGATGATTTGCAAAGCCTACGATTGTTAAGTACAGAGCCTGAGTATTTCTGCTTGAAGCTCCTGAAGGGGAACCAATCTCAACAGCAGTCCTTTAAAGAGAGCCGCCTACTCTCCCAGAGTCAATCAAGTACAACTCCAGATCAAAGATTAGTTAAAAGCTGTTGAAAAACAACATGTTCTGATCAACATTGTATGTCTCCTGATGAAGCTTCCTCCCCTCACAAACTAAAAACCTTCACCGTTTGAAGAAGATACTGAATTCTCACCAACATTTCCAATGGACAGACAAAAAAAAAAAGTTATTTTGGGCAAACAGGGATGTTTACCAGACATCCTTAAAAAAATTCTCAAGTATTACTTTACACAGAGCTGTCCTATCAAATTCACTGTTTCATTTCTGGCACCTATTACTGTAAAGATTACGCTTGTCACCTCTTCTAACCTGAGACAGACAGTGGCTCTAGAAATAGTTACAGCAGTTACTGCTGCTCACCTGGAAGCTACTAAACTCTTTTGCCCACAACTGATTCACATTAAACAAACCACGTCACCTCACCACAGTACAAAAAAAGCTGACAACTTTGAACTACACTGCAGAAGACTGAGTGCTTGCTTCTAAATTACATAGGAGACCAAAGTTACTGCAGCATTAACTAAGGAGAATGGTAAGTCACAATTAATGGGCGCTGGCTAAACAAACATTGACTTATGTTCTATACACACCTGAAAAAAATCTGTCTACACTCCGAATTGCTCTTCCTAAGGCTACATCTGAACTGCTATTCTTTGGCAGGCTAACCTGGACACTTAAAATTACAATTTCTCAGCTACCTTATTCCAGATTATTTTGAAGCCAGTTGGTTTTACACTAGACTGCATGAATTGACAGCAATGCATTTTCACTTCACAATAACATGGGCAGCCGGTCTTTACCTTCCGTACCTTCTCTTTACATCGTGTTTACCCAGTTTTGTTGCCTGCGTTACCATGCTTTCTCTGCATTGGTCCTGCACTGTTGCCAATATATAAGCCCTCAGTCTTATACTGAAAATATTTTAGCCGTAATTCCAACTATCCTTTAAATATGCCACAATTGCCTATCGAGATCTGAATCCAACAGTTCTCCAATTTATGCCCATTTTATATTTATATTGAAGGCACCAGGATAAAACAGCATCCATACAATGTCACCGAGAACTGAACAGCGTAAAGCAAATTATTCCTATGAGTAGCAGTTTTTTGGTTTTCAGGCTTGAAGGAATTAGTGTAGTCTGTGTTCTAGTGAAATAAACTTTATACCTTAAGATCCTTTATTGATCATGGATTATTTATCTCATCCCATTGTTCTAGTGCTAATTTGTTTCATTTAACTCTCTAACAGAGATGGTTGTCTTAGCTGAGTTTTCTTGTATAAAACTACACAAAAAACAGGGAAAGAAACTGAATTTAGATTTTTTTGGACACCTATAAACACAGCAAGAAATCTTCAGCTGAATTCCACCTTCTACTAAGCTTTAAGTTTTATTAGGGACTTGCAGACTGAAGATTAATTCTCAATCACTAGCCACATCTGATGGACCTACGGTATCTGCTTCAGATGATAATGCCTGTAAAATACTATTTTTTTTATAGCAGTGAAGTATTTGAAATAAAAGGGCTAGAGAAAACAATTGAGGGGAAGCTGCAGAAAAGAATACAGTAAGAGAGATATTTAGAACATTTCTGGCTGTGAATGTTTAAACCATTAAGTTATCTGTTAATTAATGCTAATTCCTTTTTGTGTAAGCAATCATCAAATCTAACAGGACTGGTATAGTACATCTGCACACCTATATAGTAACTAGTTGTCTTTTAATCATTTGCCAGACTGTAGTTCCATGCCTCCATAGCAATCATCATTTTTTTCCCCTCCATGTTTCACAGTAATCAAAGATCTACTACATACTTTTTAGACTATCTGTGGTTTTGGTAGGCAGATTACTCATTGAGGTAATCACTATTTAAACTTTTGTTTCGGTAAAAGTTCTTAAATTCTTTCATCATCTCCTTATTAGCTCATGTTAACCAGCTCCTCCCCCCCCACCCCCCGCCTGAACAGCAAGCCCAAATATAACTTCTGCAGGAAGCCTGCACGAGACACTACTGAGACTGCTTCAAGGACAAAACACCTGCCATTTCCCACTTCACAAAGATAAGATTTTAAGTCTCAGCATGACCTCCAGCACGCATATAACGTCTACAATTTACCCATCATTCTTTCATCAAAATACGTATTTTCTAATTACAGAACATCATCACAGAAGGACCATTACAGATGTACAAGAGAAATATATAGTGGTCCAAACAAGATTTCCATCTTCCATGTAATATTTTACTATCTTCTCCTTCCCTGACCCTCCCTCATCCACACCTCCTTGAATTTTATAAAGCCTGGTGGCCTTACATCTCAAAACATCTTTCTAGTTGATCACATAAATGATTTCAGTGGCTATGACTCCAAGACAAAGTAATAAGCATCAAGTTAACACAATTACCAAAAAGGTGAGCGCAACATGTTTGTAAGCTTAGAAATATAAACTTTTACCTCAGTTGTAATGCAACTGGCAGCTGTATTTTAAGTATATTCCATTTTCCAGCAAAAATCTTTGGTTAGCAAAGCAGAAATACTACACAAACTGCAACTTCATCAACAAATTTCAGAACATCATTTCAATGAGGCATGTGCTGTTAAAGAGAGCCCAGGTTTCTAAATTTCAAGCCAACTAGACTTTAAAATAAGTTCACTTTCATAGTTTAGAACCAGAACAAACCATGTCCAAACTACATATTCAAATTTTTATAAAAATTAAGGTTTAACATTTATTTTACATCTAGCTTTCCACATCCATGTGGGGACAAGGAATCAGAATGTACATAACTATAAGCAGTGCAAAAGTGGTGCCAGTGCGAAGTCACAGATGCACAATAAAGTGATAGTACAAGACTAGAGAAAATGAAGCTATGGATGTTAAGAATGGAGACCAAAAAAATCAAACAAGGAAAAATATGAAGGAAGAGGGCAGGAAAGAGGAGAGCCGGATGTTTAATAATGCCCTTGTTGCTGCAAAGATAAACTAATGGCACAAGACAATGTTTCTTGTAGAACAAAAATCCAATAGCAATGAGTCTTTATTCACGTTTAGTCACCTGACATGAGGAAAGTGTCTGTTGCATTAAAATAGTCATCAATGTAAATGGCAGCATGGCTGAACAAGTCCTTTTCAATGGTAACGAACATCCCACATAGTAAAGTCACTTCAACACAGCCTCATGACAATTCCCACATCAAAACAGTACTTTATTTTATATTTTTTTTGCCTCATCATTACTCCCACATTAAGATCTTTCAGCTGTCAAGTGTACAAGGTGAAGAAAAAGGTTCTCAGTCAGCAAACACAGGTGCATCAGGAAGTATCTCCACAATACACCACTTCAGATCTGCTGGGTCCCAAGTCCATCCTTGAACGCTGGGCTCCCAGCACCAAGTGTAGCATACTACTAAGGCTACACTACTATGTTAGCTTATTAATTCTGCATACATCAGGCCGAACAATGTGTCAACCTGCAACAGACTGAGCATTATAACTGAAAATGGCAAAAGATTCACTCTATTGAACTTTACATCATTATTTGATGTTAAACAATGAGGCAAATCCCAACAGTATATACAAAAACCAGCTTTGCTTTTACAAAAGATTTTGTTTCCCATATTGATTAATCCAGGCAGCTAACTCATTGGTTTATGCAACTTTATTGAAGAAAATAAATCAATTACTAGTAGAGCTATTAGTTGATCACTCATCCATTGACAACTTGCATCATTTATTCAGTGCTATATTAAACAGTGTTTTGGAAGACAGATTAACTAATAGCTCCAAGCCTCCTAACAAAATTTAAATGAATTACAAAAATGTTCTTAGACCCTATTTTGGAATACAAGGGATGTTTGACTTCCAATTTCCATTCTCTGTAAAACAAGAACTGGTCATTCCTTTATTGACATGCATAAGATACATCACATTTTCTGTTCTGCTGATGCTATAGATTCAGTACCAATTCTCCAGACACATCAGTTATGAGCAAAAGTATAATAAAACCTCAGTTCTCTAACACTGGAAGGTTTGGAACAAGATGGATGTTGCTACAGCAATGTTACTTCTTTGATGGGAGAAAAATGAACATCCATCTCCCCTCCCCCCTTCAGGTGATATCTTCAGTATCGGTTAGAGCAGTGAGGAATGTTTGTTTTTAATCTCATAACCAAGTTAGAATGAAGACATTGGCCACATAATACACATGCTCCATTAAAAAAAATTCTGAATCTTGGTCAATTGTTCTTGTGTAACTACTTTACAGATTCTAAAAGCAGTTATTGTCCAAAGCTGGAAGAACTAAAGTCTTCTCAGATGAGCATGTGCATGAATGGAAGGAGGTAAACAAAAAAATAAAAAAAGATGAGGTCTGATAGGGGAGCAGCCGGATAAGAAAATCAAAAAAGGAACAGTAATTTAAAGTTTATTCCAGCTATAATGCAGGTTATTCTAACTACTTTACAGATTCTAAAAGCAGTTATTGTCCAAAGCTGGAAGAACTAAAGTCTTCTCAGATGAGCATGTGCATGAATGGAAGGAGGTAAACAAAAAAATAAAAAAAGATGAGGTCTGATAGGGGAGCAGCCGGATAAGAAAATCAAAAAAGGAACAGTAATTTAAAGTTTATTCCAGCTATAATGCAGGTTATTCTGACTTTAAGGTAGCATCACATGGCATACTTCTGAGTCCATTCCCGAGATATTCTGTTGTACCTGCAAATAAAAACAGGAATTGAATTAGTGTCAGCATGAAAATGACGATTTCCTAAACAGTTAATGATTAAGTATCACTTTATCCCCATCTCCCTATTCTCTTCACACTAAGAGAAGTCTCTTTCTATACTAAGATATAATTGAACTGAAAAAACTGAACAAATCCCTCCCTAGACTAACTAGGATATTCTCTAATTTATATGAAACACTTCAAATTCAAGACAAGCAGATTTGCTAGAAGTCTATTGTGAAAAACTACTGAAGGGGAAGGAATAGAGACCACCTGGGGTCGGAGAGGCAAGGGGAGTGTTTTGTTTAAATATTGTACTTAAGTAAAGATTACAGAGTATCACATGCCATAAGTAAAGATTACTTGGTTAATAGTATCATTGGATACAGAATGCCAAATTTCCCATTTTAGAGTAAAACAACACTAAGCATTTCTTCACACTTAATACTCTCTTTCCACATGAATATACTGCTCAAACAATTTTTAAAAAGGACATTAAAAGACTATTTAAGTACACTACTTCCACAGGAATTGAGTTGACAATTAGTTTATACTTAACTCCATGCTTGTCAGTAAGAAGTTAATTTTCAACTATACAAGCAGAACATAATCCCCATACATTTTCCTAGTTTATATGTAGAAGACAGACACTGCTGAAAAATAAAAAGTTGAAATTTGGATTGTCTAAATTCACCCGTGTCTACGCATGAGGTCTGCTACAGGGCATCACTTTTAATGAAATTCTGACAAAATCTGGGTAAATACTTACCAGAACAAGTTGAAAAGCTGGCTCAAAACTCGATAATTATTTCATACTATCTTTTTTTTTTGGCCATGCAAGAGCAGTATCTGTGAGAAATAGTGACTCGCCAATACATTTCACACTAACCACAGACCAAGCTGTTAAATATCCAGGTTCAGTAACTGGTGCATCCATTATCTGTTAGTTAATCCAGTGCCTTAGAGCATGCAGCACCCAAGTGCTGACAAGTTTCCATTTTGTTAAATGCACCATAATGTGCAGATATTCTTACCCTACAGCATAGCGTATTTCTCTGTCCACTCTCTTGCTAACCTATTGTACCTAATTGGACAAGTATATTTAGCATTAATATATATATATATATATCAAAAAACCAAACAAAGTCTACTTCATATAATTCTTTCTATCTGTGCAAAATGTTAAAAACACATAAGGAAAAATAAGCTGCTTCAACACAGATAGGAAAAAAGTTATGATGCCTTTTTTCAAGTAGAGCACCAAAATTAAAGGTCAAGCTGCTACCCAAAGAAAGCACCAAAATAACAAAGCTATCTTTTCCTCAAAATGAAGATCTAACTATATTCTATTTATGCATGGTAAGCAAAAAACTGGGCAATACATACTTCAAAATACTGCCACGCATGTGAGAAAAAGATAGTCATCTCCACTCACAACTCCAAAGGTACTAAGCCTGTTTTTTTAAATTACGTACTATCAAGAATAGGTACTTCTTTGACACAAGTTCTCTCCATCCCAGATTTTCACAAAAGGCTCACTCAACACAACTGCTGTCTGACAACGCACTCTTACAAAGTTTGTTAAAATATTAGTCTTGTGCAACTCTGTACTTACTTGTCTCTGTCTGTTTTATAGATACGTGCAATCTCTGGCACTAGTGGGTCATCTGGATTTGGATCACATAACAGTGAACAAATGGATAAGAGAACTGTAAAAAAAAAAGAATTCTCAATAGCAAAACAGGAGCAACAATCTCAGAAAAAACGGAGCACAGATCTTTGCATTAGCACAATGTCAACACAGGAAAGAACCTAAAGCCTTTTCCTGATATACCGCCAAAATAAATTTATAACCCACTCTAAATAAAAAGCCCAGAATGACTTAAAAGTTTGTAAGAACTATGTTTCCTATTTCCCAATACTTACAGCTGTCAGTAAGCACACACAACAACAGCACTGTTGTCCCCTGCACTATGACGCAATGTAGCAGCCAACAAAAGCACATTATTATGTGTTCTGATGATCAGCATATTCCATGGTTTTAATCATTAAAACTAGAACTTCTTCAAATTATTTAAAAAAAAAACATTGAGACTGAATTCTTTCTCTGTTGCATGTAAGGTAGCAATACCCTAGTCTGCACAATAAAACTACACATACGTTGTAAAATAAAGGAGTAACAGTATTGTAGGCAGCTATGAGGACTTCATCCTCTACTCTCACAGCAGCTTTGAAAGAAAAACAATAGTGACAGCATTAAAATGTAGGGAATCCACATTCAAATCACAAACCTACTCCTTGGACAGACAAGAATTACAAGTTCTATAGACAAAGGAGCACTTTGATGATCTTTTGAAGTCACAGTGACCAGTGGCTTTGAGGCAAAACAAAATTTGATCATCGTGAAAATATTTGAGAATTAACTGTTATTTACTACAGTAAAATGAGGAAAGCTACAATGCTTCTATTGCAGCACAACATCAATTTATCCTGAAGCAGAATCAGTAAGCTTAGTTCATGATGTAATACAATGCCAGTGCACAGTGGCAGAAAGCAACATGTATCAATAACAGTTTTCTTTTATTCATCTACCACAGAGATATACCAATATAATTCTGCATGTAACTCCAGACAGACTCAGCCAAAAAACTATGCAGATTTCATTATTAAAAACTGACTTTAAATTAATCTTTAAATTAATATGCAAGTGTGTATCTACATGGACAGCTGCAAACAAGCATTTTCTCAGCCTTAACTCAAGTACACCACCACAGGCCTGTTTCAATCCAAACGCTGGCACATTCCTCTGGGACCAAGCTAGTAAGCTCTGCTAAGAATACTGAAGCAAGTAAGTAGCAGAAGGTGTTAGAAAAAACAAATATCCATTAAAAATGCAGTAAGGTATCATTATCAAATTGGCAAAACACATGCTAGAATGAGTAAGGGAAATCAAGAAATGGGTAAGAACAAGACAATCAAAGCTAAAAGCACAGCATTCAACACAAGGTGGAAACATTTCTTCTTCACGGAAGTTACCTTTAGAAATAGTTAAAGCAGGAGACCACTGTGATCTTAGAATATCAAGACAAATGCTGCCATTACTGTTAATATTTGGATGATAGATTCTTGTTGTAAATGCAACCTGCAACAAAAAAAAAAAGTGTGTTTCGGTCTATGACAACAATGACATCACCCCTTCTTCTCAGTCAAGCTATTAGTCAATTCAGTTTACTCTAAAAGAAAAGGATTAAGCAGTTAAACTGCATCAAATTCATGGAAATGCACCCAAGCTGCAACCTCTCAGTTTCCAATTACCAGGCACTATTTCAAACAGAGAGAGGGCAAGTATGAGGCTGTGTTTTAATCACAGGTGCCTGTATCATGATGAAGACACCCAACAGAAGCGCCTGAACCACAGTAACACTGCTATCACAGAGCTAAAGAACTTCAAACATCGCAGTCACTCCAAGTGTGTGCTTTCGTATTGACTGAAAATTGGAAGATGATGCTAGTGGCTGATAAAGCTACAAAAAAAGCATATTTTACAATTACTGCCAAATTCTAACAGATACCATCTTCACTATAGTAACACAAAGCTAATGAGTTTTCCTATCAATTAAGAAAAACAGAAATAAAACCAAACATCATTCCAAGACATTCAGAATTCACATATATGAATTTGCTCCTAAAATATATGCTAACACACCCAATTCTTGTGGTAGTCAGAGGGGGACCTAGCCATCTAATATACTGTAAGAATGCGTGAAAAGTAATATTGTCAAGTTCTCACTTCAACACAGATGCTGACAATTTCTCTCCTGTACTTGGTTCTTTAAAGAGCACTAATTTCACAAATGAGAAAGCAATACTTACCTTAGGTGGTTTGAAAGGGTAGTCTGTAGGAAAGTGAATTGTCAAGAAGAATACACCACCCTGATATGGACTGTCATTCTGTCAAAGCAAACAAATAATTCTCCTGTTATCATCTTTAGGACTAAATATCACCGAAGATGATGTTTTTAAATAAATAAAAGGAGAGGAAATTTGTTTAAACAACTGAACTGTTTAATCCACCAATACAAGAGAAATGCAATTAAAATTCAATTACTACTTCCTAAGGTAAGCGATACAGAACACATACAGGTCACTCTCTGTATGGACCTCTCCAAGCTAATGCTTCATAGAAAGCAGCTTCTCTGACAATCCACTCAGGACAACTTGGCAAAAGCATCCAAATGCCTCTGAGACAGCTCCGAGAAGTAATGTTAACAGAGCGGGGGTCCTGTCAGGTTCAAAAACCTCAAGTTCTGTGTTTGGAGCTTATTTTTTACAACCACCCAAGTTCACAGTGGCCATGGACAGCTCTAAGGGCCTCCCATTCCCTCTTAAGTCCTGTCCTTAGGCATTGCACAGCCCTGCAGAAAACTTATGAATACACAGCTAACTCCTTGTTCCTTGCAAAAAAATCCATAACAAAAACAAAATAAAAAACCCGCACCATCAAATGAAAAACCCCCATCAAGACTGAAGTGAATTCTTCCTCCCTTTCTGTATTAGAAATCCTCTAAGGCCCTCCCATTCCCTCTTAAGTCCTGTCCTTAGGCATTGCACAGCCCTGCAGAAAACTTATGAATACACAGCTAACTCCTTGTTCCTTGCAAAAAAATCCATAACAAAAACAAAATAAAAAACCCGCACCATCAAATGAAAAACCCCCATCAAGACTGAAGTGAATTCTTCCTCCCTTTCTGTATTAGAAATTCACTGTAATCTAGTATGGAAGAGTATTTTACATTTCCATGCTCCAAGGAAACAATTATGGGGATAATTCATTCAGGCGTTAATTATTAGCAGTAAAGCAACATGTGGAAGTAAAAACGCTGATAGTAAGCAGAGAATAAATGGAGTGACTAAATAGGGATTGCGTAAGTTACTAGTTAAGAGAAGAAAGATGTAAGAAGTTTTTACTTGAAACTACAACTAAATTTCTGAAATAGAGCTAACAATTTCATTGTTTAACCTGAAGGCTACAATGCTTTTAATTCTGGATTCAGGACTAGGGAAAATGAATTTGAGACACACAGAGTACACTTCTGAATAATTATTTGTAAATTGAATTTTTATATTAATTGCAAGAACATTTCACCAATGTGAGGAAATAACTACATCTTACTTAGTTAAATACCAGAAAATGAAATTCTGCAACACCAGACAAGGGACTCAAACCTGAAAACATGTAGGTTATACCCTACCCAATCTCTGCTGAAAACCTAGCAATCAAGATACAACCTCTTGTATTTGGTCAATAGAGGAAGAGCCAGAAAGCAACCCTTTTACTGTGCATATTCTGGGGATACTTTTTAGCAGTTACAGAAACCGCTCTTAGAATGTGTTAAACCAATGCAAGCTCTCTTACACCTATCTAAGAAAATCACAGCCTGTATAACACCCTACTGCAGAGGTGGAAGGCCAGATGATTGGTTCTACAATCCTTGTCTGTTATTAAAGGCGCTAAGCAACACCACAGGAACACTAGAACTACTAACACCACACTTCTGTCAGGGTACTGCCCAATCTTGAAACAGGAATGCAGACCTTTTGACACCACAAAAACCATATGGGGAAAAAAGGAGCTGTACTTTATTAAACCAGAAGGGGAAGCTAAAAATAATAATCCCAATTTAAATTCAACTGATGTTTAATACCTTACGACCATGCAGACACCAGCCACGTAAAATCATACTCAGTATAGTGCAGAACATTCCTTGCCATTTAAGCATGAATATAGCTATAAACAGTTATCTTTGAGGCACCTAGTTATAATCAATGAGAACCAGGGACTTTGGAATGGAGAGCCATTTTTCCAGTCAGGTGAACCTCTAATAAGCACATTTTCCATAGCGATCTCCTAAAATCACACTTGTAGCTATATACAGTCAGGGCAATTCAGCATCAGTGATATTTAATTCCTACTCTGTACCCTCACCAGAAGCATCACATTGTGGCTGCAAGTCTACTGGCATCCAGTATGTCTTCTCAAGTTACAGAAGGTTTTGTTTTCTAAATATAGATAACCAGCCCTGAGAACTCCAGATGTCAAGTGTTTGCAGGTTATGTTTTCAGTAAAGGCAAACATTTGCCTTCTTTACTCTAACAATGAAAAAGTCACATTCAGGTTTCAGATGCTTACTGAATATTTAACACAGACTTTTTTCCTCCAGTCATAACTGGAACCTCACATTTCAGTGACTTTTTCCCCTCCATTCCTAAAAGTATTCAAGATCTCAGTGCGTGACATCAGACTGAATAAGGACGCCCTGTTCTGTTCTAAGATCCACACAAAAGCATCCCAACTAATTCCTGACACTGGGACCAGCTCCTAGTACAAAGTTTATGCAAGATTCAAACTTTAGAAAAAGTTAAATGCAAACAAAGTCTCTAGATATTAAGTGATAATGCCTAACGTTGCTCTAGAGATCATTTCAGCTGAAATACATGTCCTCATAAAACGTTCCAGCAATAAAATAATCATCATCAGACTGATTCCCCGCCCCCACCCCTTCCTCTTCTGTTACTGTAAGGAGTATCTCTAGAACTAAAGCCTGATAAGGAGAGTTAAAAAAAAAGTAAAACAAAAAACCCCACAGTTTCCACCTGAATAAGAACTACTAGTTTAATATTACATCACAAGAATTAGAATACTTACAGGTCCCATAATTGTGGCTTGCCAATGAAACACTACAAAAGAAAAACTCCGCATTATTATCTATGCATGATATGCTTTGAGTTAGCAGAGCAAAACATAAAACTTAAGGTTACTTACTGTCATCTCCAACAGGACCTGCTGAACACTGTGCTGGAGGATCACGGGCTAAGTCACTAAGTTCCTTTAGGAAAAAAAGAACAAACAAACAAAAAAACCTGTTCAGAGAAGGAACGCTAATGAACTCGGCCATTTTTACTTCATGTCCAGCAAAAACCTTTAACAGTTTTTCCATATACAAACACAGAATAACGTCCAGTAACAACTATTAGAACCACTACATCAGTATCAAAAACGTCTTTGTAGAAGACAACGACCACCAAAGCCAGCTATGAAGGTAAACAGCCACAATGACTATGCTTTTCCAAATAAATATCACTACTGTACAGACACCCCTGCTGAAGAAGGGACAGGAAGAAGAGCAGGACACAGAGCCTGAAGTGGGCAAAGTCTAACCACTTTCCGATCAAGATTTTCAAGGATTCAGTCTTAGCTAGAGAAGCCCGAAGTGGGAAGAGAGAAAGCTATTGATGAGTCTTCATGAAACAGAAAGCATTATGTATTTAACATCTGATATTAAAACTCAGAACAGAAAGAAAAAAAAAAAACAACACAAACTCGGTTTCCTTTTCCCCACTACCTCCAGCAGACGTATCTTAAAAGAGATTAAAGTAGACAGGAAAATTAAGAGCCTGACAAGTGTGGGAATCAGGCAAAATATCTGCATTTTTTATTTTAAACTTCACATTTAATACAATTATGCCTTCAAAATCCTGAATAACTGAGCTGCAGAAACAGTTCCCTCCCTCCCCCATTACAGAGGGAACGAAAACAGAAACTTCAGATGGAGGATTCCTTGTGTAGTATCAAGATTGCTGTGATGAATCAAAGCAGCTCAGCATTAATTTGTTTAAACGCTCTGCAAGTTACTTGTTTGGACAGTGTCTTTTAAAATTAAATTTATACTTTCAGTTGAAGTATGTAACAGATACGTTCCCTCTTCCCTGCTCTCTTTTGAATCTAAAAACGGCTTCAGGAGCTTCTATAAATCTGCACTTGTCAAGGCATCTAGAAGTCATGAGAAAAGGGAAAACCTTCAGTCCCTCTCCCATATATTAACAGTTGCACACAAGTTATTTTGCTGCAAGTCTATACAAGCCATTAAAACAAGAACTCTCCATTATTTTGTCAGACATTTAAAAAAACCCAGGCATACCTATTGTACTGGAAACACATGTGTATTTGGACCAGACAGCTAACTGTTTTGCCTGGGAAGATCCTAATGTACATCCTTGAAGTTTCACAAATTCTGCACTTGATAAAAATTTACTAAGTGTAAGCCAACACAAAATGAGGAAAAAAAAATTACGTTCCCTGTAACTTAAACACCTTGTTCTTTGGTAAGATGATAGCTCCTGCAAACACAGAGAGAATAACACTACTTCAACATGTAGAAATCCATACATTCAAAAAAACCCCCCAAAACCCCCCCCAACCCACCAAGAAAACTTAGTCCCACATTTCCCCTCCCTACACATGCTAATTTTGATGAACTTTCCAGTTAACCAGATTTCAGTTTTGCTCTGGAATCAGACTGTTTTGTAAAATGGAATTGTATCAGTTTCAATAAGCAATGGCACAATGAAGTTAATATTATGGTTCATTTCACTGCTGCTGTTATTTAGAAGCATGGGCAACAGCTCTTTCCAGATCATCACAGTAAATCCATTTAGAGTGCATTTCTCTACACTTCCCAGTTATTATTGGGGGTTCCTGTGATAGGCTTATTTCTGCCATGAAATATCACTTATTAGGTCCATATGTTGTTCAGCACCTTCCAGAAAAAATTGTTAAGTTAGATTTACATTATCCATGTAAAGGCAAACAAGAAATGTAAAAGAACCTTCAGATAGAAAGCTTTTTTAAATTTTCAGGGTGGGTTTTTTTTTTTTCCATAAAACAAATACAGGAGGTTTTGCTAATCAGGCTTATTTCTCATCTAAATATATTTTCCAGTTCTAAGAATGATCAATCATTTCCAAAATCTGAGAGAAAAAAGGTATTTTGTCCCTTAAAATAAGTGGTAGCAATGGAATAAGCAGAAAGACACAAATGTTACTATTTTAATGTAGTTGTGTAGTTATTACTGTATTATTTGATTTAATCGGGGAAGAAGATCAGATCCTATTTTGTTAAAACTATCACAGGGACTAGGAACTATGAGAAGGCTCTTCATGCAGTTTATGAAAATTATAAAAATTAGTAGCACGAACACAAGAACAAGAAAAGATCAGCATAAAGTGGACTGTCAGAGGTATGTGCATTAGACTAGAGAGCTCTTCAAAAGGTACTACTATCTTCAGAGAAACAAGAAGTCAGTACTCAAGATAAAAATAAGGTATTTAACACAGCAGGAAATGTAAAGTTTATCAATAATTCAACCAGGGAAAGCAAATAAGTAGGATTGCAAATGTAAGACAAATATTGAATTTAGTAAGTTCCAGTGAATAATTTGTGCAAAAAACCCTTCAGTAATATTAAGAATAATTTACAAGCTGAAACACATGAGTGTTAATATTCCAGTCTCCAGTCGCTTCAAAATACGTGTCCATACAGAGTTACCCCTTTTAACCACTTGAACAGTTCTAGAGAGCAAACAAGCAGTGATTTTCATAAGCTAAAGGACTAAAGTTTTGTCTGGCCCAAAACACTTCAGTAAAAAACCCTAATTGTGATAAGCAAAGCAGTTCAAAATACAGATAAGGTTAGGAACACATGATACACCACTTAGCATTTCAACCACAGAGGAAGTAATTTACCCACTAAATTCAGAAAGAAAAAAAAGCTGAGGTGGCACACATTCTTGTAGTTGCTCCTCTTAGGTACTGTGGTCAGAAGAGTAAAATTTGTAGTAAAGCTGTTTGCTCCAGCAGAGTGTGAAGTGGTGTGGAAGAATTCGGGCAAACACGAAACAAACATCGGCAAGCTTTGCCTGCTTACAGTAACACCAGACCTATTTCGCCTCCCTGTTAAGTGTGCAACACGTCACATCTACACAAAAGGAGGGAAGCTTTTTGCAACAAGGGAGCGGAAAGTTCTCTCTGTGTAACTGTAAAAAGTGCCTCGTTCTGAAAGCTACAACTCTGCTGAATCCAACAGGCAAACTGGAATAACAGGAAACTAAACAAGCAGAGGCAGATGGGCTGTGATATGTGGAGCACAGTTGAAGTGTTTCATTCAAGGAAAGGGAGGAGCTTTTTTTATTTTTTTTTTTTTTTTAAAGCTTCCCACTCAGCAGCAGAAACACAACCTGACCTTCCTTCTCATCTTAGCAATCAAGACCGACTATTCGGTAACAGGAAAATATTTAATCTGAAAAAAATTTCTAACATCAAAACTAAGCTTCATCATTTCCACGAGCCGATTGAAAAAATAACTTTTAGGAAATCAGCTCATAATCATTCCCCTGCTTTCACCTATTTCTCACCAAGAAGGTAAAGACCACATTAAGTTTCATTTTATAAAGCAGAGTTTAACTAGTATTTTAGAATTAAGAAGTGTTCCCAAGCATTTTTCTGTAAATTTTCTACGTATAAGGACGGACTTTATGCTTCTAATATTCCTTCTGCTGCAATACTTGCTATCTCCAACTTTGCTTCTTTTTGTTTACATTCAGTTTCAGTAGCACTTTCCTCTGTCAAGAGGTACTAAGTAAGTTACATCCCAAACTTTCTTAAAAATCCCCTCTGTCAAGAGGTACTAAGTTACATCCCAAACTTTCTTAAAAATCCCCAAAGTAGGGCCCACATTTTCCTGGAGTCAGCTGCTGTATTTTTTCACTTTACAGGTGGCTTAAGAAAAAACATATAAATTCCCAAGGAGCAAATTCCAAAGACTTTACATAGAAACAATAAGCCAAATTTGGTTCAGATTGAGCTTTTACATGCCTATCGGAAAGGATTCGTCCTGAATTACAACTGTGACTAGTAGTCTCTGGCACTGCCAGAGGTTTCCGTTATAGCTCCAGCATATCACCATTTCTGTGTCCCAGTTTCCAAATATAAAGTTGTGATATTTCCTACCTCTCCACAAGGATGATTAGTCACTTAGCATTTTACAGATTTAAACACTGTTTAAGGAGTAAGTGCCAATGCTAGTGTTAGAGGACAACAGCGATGTAGCACATAGGAGAAGCAAAACATGTACAATTTTGCAACAGAGTTTTGGAAAACAGAGATAACTGGAAATACAGCAACAGTACCCGTCACTGCAACAGACCACTTCAACACAAATTCAGCACCATGTCTTCTGCCAGTTTCACATTAAGTCTACAGCAAGGTGTAGTTTTATTGGTGAAACAGCCCCATTCTTCATCTTCTCTCTTCTCTTTCTCCATAAATTCATCAAAAAGCTAACAAAAAATAAACCAGTATTTTCAAGACAAAAAATGCTTAGAAAAGCTAACTAATCTGCTTGTTTTGCACAAATATAATCATAACTAACATAGAAAATATGACTTATGCTTCAAGTGAGGATCCAAAACATTGACATGCGAGTGTGAATGCAAGACTACAATCCTATTATAAACCACAAAAGTGTCTTTTTTTTTTTTTGACAGAAAAGCTGCTAAAAAACCTCAAACAACTCCTCTCTACCAGCTATTTAAAAGATTACAGAAGTCATTTAAAGGATAAAGAAAATTTAAAGAATGACAAAGGATACCTCATCCAAATATGCACGAGCAAGACAGTGAAGGAAAATATTTAAGGGAACTAGCTGCTTTTCTCACAGAAGTTTTCAGGTCTCAGCAAATTCAGTAAGAAATGACAGCATGACGCCTACCCAGCTGCCTTCTTGCAAGGTACCAAGTAGAGCAGCATCAGTGTCAGCTCCTTTTCTTCCCGTTTGTCAGAATTCATACTCCCTGTGGCACAACTGCTACAGTTTTCTAGTTTAAGCTGGAAATAGCCAGGGCTTATTTTTAATGATAGTAGCAGCTGACTTAAATACAGAGTGGCAGAAGATCACTCCTACCAGAGTGACAGAAGATCACTCATTTTCCTCCACAGGCATAAACTCACAGTTAGATTTAATATTGGTTTGTAACACAATTATTTGTTAGTA